CCGATACTAGCATATCATGGGTGATGTTGAGTCTCTTAACCATCTACCATCTGTTTTCACTTCCACGGTTTCTCCCTCTGTTCCTTGAAGTCCGGGCATTAGGAAAAGGCTACCTCAGAGGCACCAACCAGGCCATCCTTTATGATTTCATTCTTCTCTGGTTTGGTTTCCATACTCTTGAGCGTGAAAGCCACCAGTGAGTGCCCACAAGAAAAAAAAAATGTTAAAAAAAAAAAAGGGACTCATTGATTGAGGGGGAGCCTCCGCATTTACTCAACAAATACCCCGTGATTCCTAGTGGTTTGACTTTTCTCTGTATTGTTGAGTTACTCTTGATGGAGGTCCAGCCATCCGATCACTACTAGGATTAACTCTAGCTCAGTGACATCTCATGGATTGCACGCACACATATTTTTTTTGTGAGCTCTCATGTTGGATTTTGAGTTGTACATTCTCATGTTGCTTATGATCATTGATTTTTTTTGTTTTGCTCATGATGTTCAGTGTCTTTTTGTTTTCACAAACTGCAAGTTTCCAGACTTCATGAATTGCGGATTATCTCCTCTTAGTATTCAATTCTGGCTGAATGTGCTCATCTACTTTTGTTTCGGGTCTCACCTCTTGTTATTGAGTATTTTGTTTTTAGTTTAAAAAAAAAAAACTTTTGTTTTCCCCGCTCGAGCGGCACTTTTTACGCTCGAGCGTAGTTTTGGGCCTTGCAGTAGTTTGCTCTCTGCCTTACAGTCCTGAGAGGGGTGTTTTGAGGCTCGAGCGCTTGTTTTCCCGCTCGAGCTGGTCTCTGCGTGTTTTGTCTCACGCTCGAGCGGCAAATCGTACGCTCGAGCGGACTGGTTTTGTATATATTTCCCTCCTTCGTCCTTTCAGTTCATTTTTCTCCAGTACTCTCTCTCTCCTAGGTTTTGTTTTCTCTTGCGCTTCCGTTCTCTGCTCTTCCGTGGGGTCTTGGTGTTTTTCGTGTGTTTACCACTTCTCAGGTTTGTCTATTCTCTCTTCTCCTTTGCTGTTTTCGGATCTCTGTACTTTGATCTATTCGTCTCTGTTTTTTTTGTTGTTTTCCAGTATATAGATGGGTCTGGTATGCGTCTGTTCCTCTTGTTGACGGTCCTTCATTGTTGCTTTTGCTTAGTTAATAATGCTGTACTGTCCATATCTTGCATCTAGGGTTAGTCTTTTGGGTTTTTTGCTTGTTTTTGATTAGTTTTGAAATTGGGGATTTTCGTCTACCTCTATTATCATGTGTTATTTTTTAATTTATTTATTTTTGCTTAAGTCCTCACCATGCTGCATACATGTTTGCATTCTCGATTTTTTTCCCATGTTGCTATATCATTGTGTTACTAATGTTCTGTTGTTTCTCTTGTCCTTGTTGGTTTTTGGTTATATTGGGTTGGGGTTTGTTTGTCCAGTTTAGTCATGTCCACCTTCAAAAGACGTAAGTCTACAGCCACTCGCCCTGCCTATAACACTGACCGCTTCCCGTCAGCTGAAAAAGCCAAGTTATACCGCGACTCCAACTCCTCCCGCTCCATCCACCTTGAACGTAATGTTCAACCCTCCACCTTTGAGTCCATTTCTATCCGATCCTTCTTTGATTATTTGGGTGGGGATCATGTACTTTTGTTCTCTGGGTCACAAAATCTTACTTGGGTTCGGGAATTTTATTGCAATATGGAAGGTCTTAATGACATTGGCACATCTTTTAAGACCTGGGTTCGGTCCAAGGAAATCACTGTTACCACTGACCTTATCCGCGAGCTTTTAGGGATTCGTGAGAGATTTCCTATTTTTTACCCTTTTCCAGTGCGTCCTACGTGTGATTTTGATGAGGTTGCCCAGTTTCTTTGTGGATGTCCTCGTTCTTGGCCTTCCGGTTCCTTGATCAAACAGCATGAACTTCTTCCACAATTTAGGTTACTCAACCTAATTGTGTGTGCTAATATCATAGTTACCACTCACTGCTCTGAGATTAACCAGGATCAAGGCTTTGTTCTTTAGTGTATAGCCCACAACCGTCCCATTGATCTTGCCACTCTTATCATTCAAAAGATGTTTGCTCCTTTTGAGCGCAGCAATCTTGGCTTACCCTATGTTTGTCTTATTAACCGCCTTTTAGCAAAATTGAAGGTCCCTGCGTTTGATAAGGACGAATTTGCTTCTCCTTCCCGTCCGTTTACCAAAAAGACTGTCTCCCAAAGTCAGTCTCACATTAAGGGGGTTCCTTCTGGTTCAGGTAGATCTGGTGCAGGTCCCAGTGCTGCTGCGGCCATGGCAGAGGAGGCCGAGTATGATGCTGCTGCTGGTGGAGATCTTGGTGAGGGGGAGCAGCACCCTCCCGTTCGTACAGTTCGTGGTCAGCTTCAGTCCCTCGAGCGCTCTGTTGGTTCCCGGTTTGACCATCTTGAGGCGCGAATGGATATATTTGAGGCCAGACTCACAAATCTTGAGACCACTACCGATGCTCGTTTCAGTGCCTTGGAGGCTTCTTCCCAGTGGATTGAGGATTCTGTGGCACAGTCTTCATCTCAGTTGGCTCAGATCTTGACCTTCCTTCAGATGCAGTCTCCCCCTCCGGCTTCGTGATCTTTGCTCTTTACTCTTTTGTTTTGTTTCTCTTTCTTTTGTTCCCTCCCGGACAAAAAGGGGGAGTGTTTTGTTGATGTTTTTGGATAACTTTAATTTTGGTACAGTTGATGTTGTTTTGTTTTTTTTTTTTCATTCATCTAATCCAGTTCCACATGTTTTTGGTGTGTATGGTTGTTTTCTTTCAGGATTGTTGTTCACAAGCATGAATTTGAGCTTTGGTTGACTGTTGGATCATTGTTGGTGGTGTTGTTTTTTATTTATGTTGGAACATTGTTTTTTTTAAATTAGTTTGGAATATTGTTTGAGTTCTTTTGTGATTTTTGTAAGGATAACTGTTTTAGAATGGTTTTGTCCGGGATTTGACAAAGGGGGAGATTGATAGGATCCTTTTGTTGTCAAAATCCATGGATCAAAACCAAGGTTGTTACAGGTTTCAGTTTTCCAGTTTTTTCAAATTTTTGGTCTCTCCGCTCGAGTGGGGAAAGGTACGCTCGAGCGGGAATTAGAAGCTCTCAGCATCTCTGCAGTCGCCTGAAAATTACTGGATGGTGTGATTCGACGCTCGAGCATGGAAACTGCCGCTCGAGCGTGGAGCCTGTATGAAATCACAAAAGTTGAAGTCTCCGCTCGAGCGGGACGACCCACGCTCGAGCGGACAGCGCGATCCCAGATTCTATATATTCGCTTTGTGGGTTTGTTTTAGGTTTACTTTTCCTAGATCTTATTCAAGAGTCCTAGGGTTTTGTTTGAGGTGTACCTCTGAAGTTTTGGTGAGTTTTCCTTGATGTTTTTGAGAAGAGTTCTTCACTCATGATCTAAAATACATACATCAAGGTGTTGGTTACTTTATATTCAAGAGAGAGTTCTCTTCGGTGGATTCCGAAGATTCTAGCGTATAGTTTTCAAAAGGCGTTTGATTCTATATGTGAGTGAGGTTGTGGAATCAACTTCAGGATTGATCAATTCCGAGACGAAGTTGTGGAAAAAGAGTTACAGAAGATTCGAAGACAGATTGACTGAGTTGGGTAATTTGTATGATATCTTTGTAATCTTTTTACTTCAGTAGTGGATTGATTAGTGGCGTTTCGCCCGTGGTTTTTTAATCACAGTTGGAGGTGTCCAATTGTGGTTTTTTCCACGTAAAAATCGTTTGTGTCGATTTATTAATTATTCTGAAAAACAAACAATCTAAATCACTTTCGTAAGTGCTTGTTGATTTAGATTGTGTGTTTTGGATTTTTGGGATTTGGAATATTTTTAATCTTGATCTAATCACGAATCACTTAGGATTTTCACTTCATTTTTCCCAAAGACCACAAATAGAGTGAGAGCGAGAGAGAGAGAGAGAGAGAGAGAGAGAGAGAGTACCTATTAAAGTTCAGAAACAAAGTAGACTATTCGCCACCATCAGAGCTTGAAATGCCAGTAATTGAGGGGTCAGATTCAGATCTGAGCTTCTGGAAATCACTGAATCTTTGAAGCTTTGCAAATGTGACGGTGGAGCTCGCTACCTCGCCGGTACAGCTACGAAATCGCTTTGATGGAGCTTCGATCTGAATCTTGGATGGAGCTTAGATAGAATCTTCGATGGAGCTTCGAAATCGCTTCAATTTGAATCTTCGATGGATCTTAGAGAGGGTTGAGAGGGAGAGAGAGAGATGTGTGCGTATAAGGGTTGAGAGAGAGAGAGAGAGAGTTCTGAATCTTCGATTGAAATCATTTTGTGTAATATGCTTAGAGAGGGTTCTGATTCAAAATAAGGTTTCACAAAAGGAGGCGCGTGTGGCTACCGTATTTGGAGGCGTTTTTGAACGCCTCCCATTATAAAACGGTGTCGTTTTGTTTAATAGAATTCGCGGGGTTTATAAAACGCTGTTAAATACCAATAACAGTGACGTTTAAAAAAACGCCACTATATCCCTTTTTTTCCTATAGTGTTATTAGCATTTTACAAAAATGAGTATTCTTCTTTGCTCTCAAAAAGCATTTCATATATATAAACTATGATTCAATCAGAGTTAAAATGAAATTATTATGAACATGTTATCACATTGACTCATATTTTACTCTCTGAAGGTAAAATATTCATAACTCAAAAACGTACTAAGAGTTTGGTGCTCAAACCAGTTGGATTCTTAAAGCTTTCCAACTATTTCGAATCATGAAAAACAGAGTTCAAATGTGTCCAAAATTAATAATTTTGTGTTTAATTTTTTTCCCAAACATTTTAAAAATATAAGTCATCTTGATGAGTTCTTTCCTTTAAAATGATAAAATCAATACTTCTCCCATCATTTGTATATATATATATATATATTTGGCATAGCACTACTCTAAAATTGTTTGCTTTATGTATTCCTATCTATTGATTTTCTCTATTTCCTTCGTGATAATAGGGATTGATAGATGAAGATAAATTAGACACCTTCAATGTACCTAGCTATTTTCCATCACTTGAGGAAGTGAAAGATATAGTGGAGAGGGACGGATCATTCACAATCGATCATATGGAGGGGTTTGAACTTGATACCCCACAGATGCAAGAGAATGACAAATGGGTTAGAGTGGAAAAGCTTGCCAAGGCTGTCAGGGCCTTCGCAGAGCCTATAATCTCAAACCAGTTTGGACATGAAATCATGGACAAACTATATGACAAGTTCACTTACATTGTAGTTTCAGATTTGGAAGGAAAGATACCGAAGACCACAAATATCGTTCTAGTGCTTTCCAAGATTATTGGATAGTTTTTTAGTGTTGTGAAATAAACTGTAGTCCCCATCACATATATGCTACTAGAGAAGGAGCTGCAGGAAGCTCCCTAACTCTCTGTGGGGCTTTGGAAATGCACGTGATTAGTCTTGCTTTGGGTGCCAACCTTGTTAGGATGCGTAGTTTTGACAATGATACATCTTCTTTCCAAGCTATGTGTATCTTTTTTGATGTAATAAAATTTTATCCTCTTTGCTGTTCAAAATATATATATATATATATGCTAGAGGGTTGTGCCAATATATTGCACAAGAAGATTTGAGAAGGGTCAAATATAGAAAGCTTTTTGCTCGTGTGGAGAGAGAATGTTTTCTTGATTTAAATCTGTGATACCCAAATCGTAATGCTGGGAAGAAATGAGAAGTTAAACATGAAATTTTAATTTCTTTACCTTATGTATGTATGGAATTAGTGGTTGTTTGCTAAAAATAACGTCTCCTCCAATTATTGTAATGTATTAGGATGGTTCTTGCAAAGAATTTTTTTGCCCCTTTTAAATCTCAAATTGAAATATTTTATCAATGGTATCAAAGTCATATATAAGCATTTCATTAATTAAATCATGACTATGCACGTCAAGTGCATTTGTCTATGAGTCTTTTGAAAGAGAAAAAAAAATAAAGAAACTCATATTCAGATGTAGAGGAAACCACGTGATAAGGATTTCAAAGGTTAGAATTGATGTATTTTTAAATGTTGATGATTTAATTTGAAACGATTATGTGTTTCTTTATTTCAGTGTTTCTTATGCTTTGCTACCTATTTGGGAACCTCGCCAATGTGGTAGTGTTGCTGGTTGTTCCTTATTGTTGTTCTGGATTGTACTGATTTATTATTTTGATATAATATTCCATTGTTCACTAATACAATCGGTTGCACCTTTTTTTGCTGATCAAAACAATTTCAAACAATTAAAAAGTTAGTATTTGCTTTGTTACAGAAGTCAAACTTTAGGTTTTTTTTTCCCTAATAATAATAATCTTAGCAAAAGATTAATAAAAATGAAATCCTGGATTGGAAGAGGTTTTGTTTGATATTTTTTCAAATTAAGAAAAACCAATCGCAACAAACTAGCAATTATAAATTTGCTTAGAAAATTATGTGTCACTACTGTTTTTAATGTAATAGACCTCACCTCCACATTCATTCATAGATCATTTTCATGGCCAGACATCATTCAAAGTTCAAATTCCAAATCTTGAATACAATAGGCACAATCTCATTAATTGGAACAAACATGAAATGACCTATCCAGCAACAACAATTGCAAAAAGAGACAAAACACACAAGTATGTGGGACTCACCCCTTGTGATAGGGTTGTATCCCATTATGTGTTTGATTTTTGTATTCTTAACATTACTGTTTTGATTATTTATTTATTTATTTATTATTTCTTTTTATAATGAAACCTACGCAAGGTTGTAATCCTATCTACACATTATTGTCATTTTTTTTGTTTAATCGATTTGGATAAAAATTAAATTTAAACTTTTTTTTTTAACTTTGTTTTGAACAAATTCTTACAAAATTGCATTGTGGGATAGAAAATTATAATGATTTTTCATCTAAAATAGCTCTAAAACATTAATCTAAATTTCTTAATTTTTTTAAATTTTAAATTTTAGTAAATACACATGTTGAAAATTTAAAATCCTCAAAATAAAAAGTCAAAAAAACAAAAGGCTTTTCTAAATTTTTTGTTATATTTTTAAAACCTAAATAATACATGTGGCGTCTAAAAATTTAAAAACTTATTAGGTGTCAATATATTACGACACATTTATTAATAAAAAAGAAAATTTAGCTTGACACAGACAAAAAGAAAATTATATATATGTGTGTGTTTAATGCATATTTTTACGTTGGGAAACACTATGGAGCACACAGTCAAATGGTGTGCTTTATGTGCACCTTATAACTAAAAGAAAGAATGATATAATATCAATTTTCTGAGTCATAACTTAAATAAATAAATATATATATATATATATATATTTATGTGTATTATAACTAAACCTAACCTGAGTCATAAGTAAAGAATTCATAAGTAATAACTAAAATAATGTCATAATTAAAAAAGAAAATTGGTCATTACTAAAGAAGAAAATTGTATAATCAGGGATGCACATGATACACCCATTTTAAATGGGTGTATATTAAAATTTCCCTTTTACGTTACATCAAAAATTAAATGTGTCAATTCATTGTTTAAAAATACATTAAATAAATTTTGAGACATAAATATACTTTAATAATGATATAATAGATAATAGATAATAGATATATTTATAAATAAAAAAAATTATTTCTTAATTAAAATTTCAAAGTTTTAATAAATATACCAAAATAATATTTTTATACATATTTTCTATTTATGTTATAAAAAATATTAAATATATATTTTCTATTTAAAATTTCCCTTTTACATTACATCAAAAATAACATGTGTCAATTCAATGTTTAAACATACATTAAATAATTGTTGAGATATAAATATACTTTAATAATGATATAATAGATATTAGATATATTTTAAATCTAAACATATAATTTCTTAATTAAAATTTAAATTTTTTTAATAAATATACTAAAATAATATTCGTATATATATTGTCTATTTATGTTATAAAAAATATTTTAAAATATGCTTACAAATTAAAATTAAAATAAATATATTGGCCAAGTAACTTATGGATATAAACCAAGATAATTCTTTAAGGATTGGCTTGAGCCGGGATTGGAGAGACTGTTGCGCATCATGCGTGGCAATCACTGTTGTGCGGTTAATGAAGCTTTTTTTGGCTTTCATTTCAATGATCTAAGTCGTTCACTTTTTAGAAAATACTGAGTAGAAATATACCTGTAAAAATTCAAGTTAATCAGAGATTGGTATCCTTTTCATCCAAACATATTTGTATCTAAAAAATTGAATAGTAAATTTAATTTTAAGTATAACTATGAATACAAACATGTCTTGATCAACGGGATACCGAAGTCCGAATCACTTTAATTTTTGTGTGCATATTTTACTCAATGTCTTCTAAAAATTAAACGGTTTAGATCATCGGAATAAGATCTGAAAAAGACCCCGTTAACTGCGCAACAGTCATTACTACGGATGGTGCGCAACAGACTCCACAAATTGGCTTGAGCCAAGAGTTGTTGTCATAAAAATTGGCTCAAACTCAGTATTTAGGCTATTTTTAGTATTTAATTCAATACCGAATTTCAAACTAATCCATACCCATCACAACTTGAGAAACTATGATATAATGTAAACATAAAGTTCAAATTTATTATTATCAAATATTTTTACTAATTAACTGATCAATTTTTTAGATTGGTTGCAAGGCTAGGGTTAGAATATGGCTCAAAATTTAGGACAACCGGATATTAGATAATTTTTCATACATAAATATAACTAAGGTCTCGTTTGTTACCTATATATTTTAGTCAAAGGGTCAAAAGTCACTATAAGTTGTCACATCACTCTCTTTATTTTTCTGCACATCTTCTCGTAAAAAGTCAAAAAATTACTAAAATAGTCTGTTTCCAAACAAGACCTAACTATTCATTTAATAGTTCTAAACATAAGTGTACATTTTGTTTTTACCCAAGTTCAATTTTTTAAATAAATATGCATAAATATATAAATATTTTCGTTTTTATTATAAAAAATACTTACAAATTCCAATTTAATATTGCAAAATAGATCGATTGATTCATAAGTTGGACATATACCAAGACACTATTTTAATTGATTAAGTCAGGGTAAAGTTGGCAAAATAGTTAAATCAACTAACTTTGAAGTCTCTTTGTAATGTCTAGCCTAACTCTACAAGCCAACTCTAATGGGAAATTATATTTGCACACACCTATTTATCTCAGCGGACATACTTAATGAAATATTATTTTAATGATAATTATGCACTAAAGTAAAATGATTATAATAGATATCAAAACATACTCTTAATATTATATTCAAATTTTCTCTATATACATCTTTTTTAAACCAAAAAAATCTTAATGCACATCTTGATAAACTCACAAATTTTCAACCAAACCCAAAGAACTACACAGTTATGTGGAGGAACATTGCGAAGCTAGTCTCTTCCAAAACCCCAACAAGTTAGAACTTATTCTTCTTTCTTATCTTCTGTATCTCTCATTAAAATAGTAAAATGGAGTAATTTCTTGTTTAATTGTTTTTGTTTCCGCTTGCGCAGTTTAATTTGCTATGAATAGAATAAGTTAGTAAGTTGTGATTCCAACCCTAAGCCCCTAGGGTTGGGTCGTGACATGATGGCTCTCCAATGCATGTTAGTCTTATAGGTCATATTTCTACCTCCACTATTTCTTTACCTTACACTTATCTGATCTCCAATCTTACACTTAATCTTATTTCAATTGGTCAACTCTGTGATCTTGGCCTCACTGTTCTCTTTTCTCCAATTGGTTGTGTTGTGCATGATCCGAAGACGGGACAGACTCTTGGGATCGGTCACAGACATGGCTGTCTGTATGAGCTCATCCATCTTCGCATTCCCTCTTCCAGTTCTTCCACTGTCCAGACTACTATTCCTACTACTCCTAGTTCTCCTCTTGCCTTATGGCATTCTCGGTTAGGTCATGTTTCCTTTGGTCGTTCACGGTCAGTAGTTTCTAGTGGTCAGTTAGGTCCTATTCCAAATGATAAAGTAGATTGTCTATCTTGTCAACTAGCAAAACAATCTTCTTTACCATTTCCATCCAGTACCTCCATGTCTCATGCACCTTTTGATCTCATACACTTTAATGTTTAGGGACCGGTACCTAATACCACTATGGGGGATCTAAATACTTTGTCATTTTCGCAGATGATTTCACTCGTTTTACCTGGTTATTTCTTATGAAGTCTTGCTTTGAGTTACCACAAATCTACTACGATTTCTCACAAATGGTCAAAACTCAATTTTCTTCCACCATCAAAGTTTTCTGTGCTGATAATGCCCAAGAATACAAAGGAACAAATTTTTTGAGATTCCTTTATCAAAATAGCACACTTTCTCACTATTCTTGTCCTGGTACCTCCCAACAAAATGGTCGTGCTGAGCGTAAACATCGTCGTCTTTTAGATGTTGTCTGTGTTTTTTTAATTTCCTCTTCTTGTCTTGAGCGCTTGTGGGGGGAAGCCGCTCTCACAGCTGCCTATACTATCAATTGTGTTCCTTCTCTTACCATCAATAATCATACCCCATATGAGCGCTTATATGGCCAACCTCCTTTCTATTCTCGTCTTCGTGTGTTTGGATGTGCTTGTTTTGTCTTTTTTTCACTACATGAGCATTCCAGATTAGAACCTCGAGCCCGTTTGTGTTGCTTCTTGGGGTATGGGATTGAACATAAAGGTTATCGTTGTTGGGATCCTATTTCTCAACGTCTTCGTGTCTCTCGTCATGTGGTATTTTGGGAAGACAAGATGTTTTCTTTTATATCTAAGTTTTATCTGTCCACTACTCCCACTACATCATTCTTCATAGATCTCTTTCTATTGTTTGATGAGCTTGATACAAACACTACTTCTGCCCTGCTACCTCCGGCCCATCCTGAAGATCCTACTCCGTCTCCTGGTCTTGCTGATGCTCTAATCTCTGATCCTGCTCCTAGTCTTGCCATGCTGCTTCCGACCTATCCTGAGGCTCCTGCTCCACTTCCTGGTTCTGCTTCTGAGAGACCTCTTCGTCGTTCTACTCGAGTAACATAACCTTCTATCATTCTTCGTGATTTCATTGTCGGTTCTATTGAATTTTCCTCTAATGAACCTACTTCCTATCGAGGAGCTTGTTCTAACCCTCTTGGCAGCAAGCTATGACTGATGAACTACAGGCTTTTGATAAAACTCATACTTGGAATGTGGTTGATCTTCCTCCTGGAAAAAGTATCGTTTGTTTCAAATGGGTTTACAAGCTCAAGACTCATTTTGATGGTTCTATTGAGCGTTACAAAGCCCGTCTTGTTGCCCAGGGGTTTACTCAAGAATATAGGATTGACTATGAAGAAACCTTTGCTCCTGTTGCTCATCTGACTTCTGTTCATAGCTTACTTGCTGTTGCTGCTGCTCGCCACTGGAAACTTTGTCGGATGGATGTGAAGAATGCATTTCTCAATGGCGATCTCACTGAGGAAGTTTATATGCAACCTCTACCTAGTTCCTCTATGCCGCGCTCCAAAGTCTGTAAACTTCGCCGTGCTTTGTATGGTTTGAAACAAGCTTCTCGTGCCTGGTTTGCCAAGTTTAGCTCCACCATTCATGATTTTGGATTCTCCTCTAGTGCCTATGATTCTGCCATTTTTATTTGTAAGATAGAGCGTGGTACTATTCTTGTTCTTCTCTATGTGGATGATATGATCATCACTGGCATTAACACTGTGGGTATCTCTAGTCTCAAACAGTTTCTCAGTCGCTAGTTTGAGATGAAGGATTTGGGTCTTCTTAGCTATTTTCTCGGCTTGGAAATCTCTCATGATTCGTCTGGTTACTTTCTCTCCCATGCCAAGTATACTTTCAATCTCTTGGCTCATGCTGGTCTTATCGATTGCAAGAATGTTTCTACTCTCGTTGATCCTCAGACTCGTCTTACACCTCTTGACGGTCACCTATTGTCTGATGCTACTTTATATCGTCAACCAGTTGCCAGTCTTGTCTATCTCACGATTACTCATTCAGACATCGCTTATGCTATTCACATTGTTAGTCAGTTCATGGTTGCTCCTTGCTCTCTGCACTATGATGCTCTAGTTCGCATTTTATGATATCTCAAAGGCACTATGTTTCATGGTCTTTACTACTCCGCTCACTCTTCCCTACTAGTTGCATGCATGTTCTAATGCTGATTGGGCAGGAGACCCTACTGACCACCGTTCTACTACAGGATTCTACTTCTTCTTGGGTGACTCTCTCATTGCCCGGTGTAGCAAGAAGTAAACTCTTGCTGCTCGTTCTAGTACTAAGGCTGAGTATCATGCTCTTGTTGACACTACTCAAGAGTTTGTGTGGCTTCTATGGCTTCGTTCTGATATGGGGGTTTCTCATTCTACTGTGATTAACTTCTATTGTGATAGTCAGAGTGCTATTTAGATTGCCCATAATGATGTCTTCGATGATCGCACAAAGCATATTGAGATTGATTGTCACTTCATACGACAACATGTTACTAGTGGCACTGTTCGTCTTATCTTTGTTATCTCTGCCAATCAGATAGCCATCATCTTCACCAAGGCTCATCCTCCTGGTCGTCTCAGTGTTCTAGTTTCCAAACTCAAGCTGGTTGATGCCTATCCACCTTAAGTTTGAGGGGAGCTATTAATGTATATTATTATATTATACTTATTATACTTATCTCTATCTCTATCTCTATCTCCTTATAACTCTATCTCCTTGTATCTCTATGTTTTTCTATACTTATCTAGGTTTCTTTTCAGTCTATATATACAGGCTTCTCTTATTGTATTCATTCATTCAATTCAATATAATATAGATACACAATTCTCACCTATCTTTCAACCATGCAATTCTCATGTAAAAAAAAAAAAAAAAGGTAGAAGGGAGTGAGTAACCGGTGTAATTCTCTTTGGGTGTGAGCTCAGGAACAACTCACTGGGTAGTTGGAAAAGACGGAATAGATGAGCCTAACAAAACGAGACTACTACATATGGACGTATCGGCATGTGTTCACACTCATGACAATCTTGAGCATATATGATTTCCAACCCCATTATGGTCCTAACACAGAAGGCGAAGTGAAATTTACATATTTAAAATGAAACTGTGAAAAATGTTATGAGGTTTTTTTTTAATATCTAGATGCTAAGGTTAGGTTGTGCTGGCCCAACAGAGAAATTTCACATATTGATGGATTGCGCAGCTTGTGATTCTCTTTTTTATTAAGTCTTGGGTTTTTGTGAAAGAAAGAGGAGAGAGAGAGAGAGAGAGAGAGAGATCTCAGTTGGGCTTTCCAAACTGGCATATGCTGAGGCCCAGCCCGTTTTCTAAGCCCACAACAAAGTATGAGTGTCAGGGTTCATGACCCCCCGAAAAAGAGAAAATTTGAAATAAATATTTCAAAACTGAAGTGTTTGTAAATTTAAATTTAATGTGTTGTGACCTATATTTGGATCATACACTTGATTTTCAAATAATTGTTTCCGACAAAAAAAAAAAAAAAAATTGTGTTAATGTTGTTGAAAAATGTTTTGTCAAGTATAGAGTGATGCACTATCATCTAAATTTTTACTCTTTTTATCCCATATTGTTAATCATTATTTCTATTTGGGACTTCCACAAATATTTTTATGGATAATTTTTAAAGTATTCTCAACAGTCAAATCTTTTTACGCATAATTATATGACTAAAATTATTCAATGATATAGTCAGAATATGATTTTTATGATGAGTTACATTAAATAATAGGGTAAATTACTTTACTCCCATATAGTTTGGGTCATGTGCGGTTTACTCTCATAATGTTTAGAAATAGCCACATACCCTCCACGTGGTTTGTGGATTAATGTACACTACTAGACATTCTGTCTAACTTAATAGTAAGCGTGAAACACGTGGCAAACTAAAGGGGTTATACACTCATTTTTAAATTTCAAGGGGGTAAATTGCACATGAAATAAAGTACATGGGATTAAAGTACACTTTGCCTTCCAAATAAATGACGAAAACACAAAGATATTTTAGTCTTTTTTCATTAAATCGTTGACGAGCCTAACAATGCACTTCAGTTTACAAACCACAAGGGTGTTATGTGGTCATTTCTAAATGTTAGAAAATAAACTGTATATGACCCAAATAGCAGAAGTGTAAAGTGAAATTTGTCCTAAATAATAATATCAGATTTTTACAAATTATTCATTTTTTATAACTAAATATTTGTGATAGTACATCCGAGAAAATAACATCAATTTTTAGTGTTGGACTTATCTCAAATTTAAATCTGAACTTGATTGTGCTGCCCAGGCCGTAATGCTACGCGGATCCAATTTCAATGATTCAAGCTATTTATTTTGTAGAGTTTTCCATACACATTATCCATAAAATAAAAATTTAAACTGTGTGGGTGATTTTCCGACCACACTGCCCGCTTAGTAACTAGCTGGAGAGCACTGGCAGAATAGATGGCACTTGACTGACCTGCAACAGAAATATAAGAATCCCGCGGTGGTTTTGACCACCCGGGGGCACTCTGACGATCAAGTCAGTATATCTCTCAAAGATAAATCAAGTACTAAACTCACAAGCTTGAGTATCAAAAAGCATACCTTAGACCCATGGGGGTGCCTCTCTTTTATAGCCAATACAATCCTAGTCCCAATAGGAGCCTGGCCCTAATGGACTTAGGATTACTGCTAATCTGGGACTCCCAGTGGGATTAGGATAAACTCTCTAAGAGTCTTATCTTTACCCAAACTGAAGTCTTCTCCCAATCTAGGACTCTTGTCCATATCCAAGTTGAGTTCCCTCTTCATTCTAGGACTCTTATCCCTTATCTGCTTACCTCGGATTCCGATGTCTTCGGAGATAACCTTGGCCTAGCCGAGATGACCTCGGCACAATGACCAAGACACGTGGCACCTCGGTTGACACGTCAGCGTCACCTTGCCACGTGTTGGTACTCAGAAAATATATCCCCACAACTCCCCCTAGGTTCTATTACCTCGGCATTCTGAGGTGATGGAACCTACACTGTTCGTTCATCTGTGCCCCTCTGTCCGAGATCAAACTTGCTGACCTCAAAGTTCCCTGGACTTTACTGTCCACTGGTGTCAAGAATCAAGTTTCATGCTTTCCAAGCTGCTTGAAATCGCACCTCCTAGCCGAGGTTCTGGTTCCACTAATTCGTAAACTCCAAGAGCTTTGCAACTGCTCCACTCACACTCTCCGGTGAGTTCTCGATTTCTAGTCATCTATTTGACTCCGACGATTTTCATATCGGCGTTCATTTCGCTTTGTAGGTTCATAAACTCTTACTTTTTTATTAAGCTCAATCTTTCATAACTCTTCTGATTTACTTTGAATCTATTTATTTTCCATCTGTGGCCTTCTGTTCTCGTCTGTCTTCAAGTTTTTTATTTTTTATTGCTAAAATGCCTGGAACTGTTCTTTGTCATATCCGCTTCCTGTTGCTAGCATCGTACCTGGGTCATTACTTTCTTGTTCTTCACATACTTACTTAGTGCTTGTGCACTTGGCTTTATTCTTGAACTTTGTCATCTTCTTGACTCTGGTTTTTCTCTTATTGTTTTTCTTGTTGTATTTCCATATTCTTGCCTTTGTTTCTATTTTCTGTATAGTCTTAGAACCACGTCCCTTCTTAAAATTGTTGCCGAGATAATGGTAGAGAAGCTCTTCCAGCTAATTGCTAATGCTGAACCACCGTCAGCCGTTTGAAGTAGATTAGTCCGACGTTCTTGCCTTAGTCCCTAGTTCTTAGGGTCTTCATCTTTGTACTTTTGTTTTCTTTGCATATGTCACCTCTTTTGCTTCTGAAAAATGTCTGTTGTTGGCCAATGTTAACATCCCTTGCTCCTTGATTATCATTCCTTTTTCCACTGTATTTGATAGCCATGTCGGGTAATTGACTTCTCGGATTTCCCTGAGCTCTAGAAGTCTGTCTACTTCTTCCTCTACTGCTTCGACGTGCATCAACGTCGGTCCTCTTGCTCTTTGGATTACAGGTTTGGCCTACCTGTTGATGTTCAGTTGGTGGCAAGTGACCTCGGGGTCAATGCCAAGCATTTCGTAAGGTGTCCAAGCAAATACCTCAATATTTGCTCTCAAAAAAGCTTCCAATTCTCTTTCTTCTTCTTCGGCTAAGCCTGAGTCGAGAAAAAAGAAGCGTTCTTGATCATCCTCCTGGACGAGGGCTTGCTTTAGTGCTTCTTCACTTTTCTCGGTTGGTTCCTTGCCGACATCATCTAGGACCTTCATGTCCTCGTCTTCAATCTCTGCCTTCTCTGATTTTCGAATGCTGCAGGTGGATTTCATTGCTTCCATGGAGCAATTCTCCGTCTGGAGTTGATCCCCTCTGACTCCTTCAACCCCATGTTCTGTTGGGAACCGCAGTAGTTGATGCAATGTTGAGGAAACTGCCCCCATTGCATGCAACCATGATCTTCCCAAGATTTGTAAGGAGATGGAGTGTCGATGATGGTGAATTCTATTGTGATCTCTCTGGTGCCAGCCTGCACCTCCAAGCTTACTGCTCTCAGTGCCCATGTTGGCGTTCCATTGAACCCAACCATTGGCCCATTGGGTTGCTCCATATCGTCTGGATGTAGGCCGTGCTCCTTGTAACATCGGACATACATGATGTCACAAGAACTTCCTTAGTCAATCAGGATGCGTTTCATTTGGCACTCCCCAACCTGGAGGGATACTATCAAAGCATCATTATGCGGGTGTTGGACCATCTCGAGGTCGGCATCGGTAAAAGACACTACTGGTCTCATGCACTCATCTGCCCGATGTCTTTTGTCCCCGACTTGGTAGATATGTTGCAGGTGCTTTACCTTCTGAGTCCCCCCCTAATTTCGTTCTCGTTGACCCTCGAGTGAATTACATTAATTACCCGAGGTTTTCCTGCCTGAGGTTGTTGTGCTGGGGGAGGCAGAGTTGCTGGCGCCCGAGGCAGTTTTGCCTGTTCTTCCCTTGTTCTGGTCTCATCGATGAGGTCCCTTCAGATTGCCTTGCCTCATCAGATCTTCTAAGTGTGCTTTTAGTGTTCTGCAGACCTGAGTCATACGCCCGCCTTCAACATACACCTTTAACTGTGCAATCTCCTCGGGGTTACATACCTTGGGTATAATAGCTACAAAACTTTTTACTTCGGCAAGATATTGACCTGCAAACTTTTCACAAATTCTAACAAGAGTGAAACATATACTACTCAATGTTAACTTTGCAAACTTTTTCTCAAGTTTCAACAAGTGTTTAAATGGTGATCTCGGTCTAGCCTACTTGCAAATAACAAGGATTAACATATACTGTAACAGGGATCAACAAGGATTAACATAGCAAGTGTTAAACACTAATCTATTTGTAAATTGCTACGAATTTCAACAAGTATTTAAACAACATACTTAGCTTTTACTTCAACCTGTAAATTGCTGCAAATTTCAACGGATGATCATATGTCGGTTTAACGTCATCTTTGTAAATTGCTACAAATTTCAACAAGTGTTAAGCATCTTCTTCAGGTTAACCAACTTGTAAATTTCTACAAGTGCTTAACCAATAACCTCAGCTTTACTTCGGCTTGTAAATTGCTACAAATTTCAAC